GGAAATCCCAGGCGTTTTCCCTGCGGGCGCTGTGACGGTCGCTGAAAGAGGAAACACTAATTATGAATCAAACTTCCAGGAACCGATGACATTCTGATGTGCTGAGCCTGGCATCAAATTAAATCCCCCCGTGTCTCCGCAGCTCTGCAGATGGTCAGCTCGTCTGCGACGCATGGGCCCTGGGGATCCAATACCGTGCAAGATGCCCACGTTGCCTCATGCGTGCTTGCAGGCTTGGTTTTTACGTTTACGTTTACGTTTTTACTTTTACGTTTTTACGCGTAAAAACGTAAATTTACAAAAGGCTCTATTTTTACGGCTATTTTTACGTTTTTACGGCTCCCTGGGACGCCCAGATTACACGATGAAAGTTGCGTACAATGATCAGTCCTCCGCCATATCCAGCACCCGCAACACAGTGTCCACCTTGCCCTTCACAAAAGCGATGATGGTGTGTAACAAAAACTCATTTTCTGCACCTTCCAGGGCGTCTGGCTGCCATTCTCCGGACTCCGTAAGTCTGTATGTACTGTCCTTATGTACACCAGGCAGTTTTTACGTTGTATTTACGTATTTTTACGCATTTTTACGTGTAAAAACGTAAAAACTATTTTTACGCGTAAAAACGTAAATACGATCAGTTTTTACGGCGTAAAAACCAAGCCTGCGTGCTTGCACTGCTGCCGATATTTTTTTGATAAAACGAGGGAAATCTTTCTTCTATTTCCCTATTACTTGTACCAAATATTTATTATTGGAAATTTCGGAACACAAGAAATCAGTACGTCCGACAAATGAAGTAATGAATAGTCAAGTGAATGTAACGTTTGGTGAAAGAATTATTAGAATTACGTCCAGAGGAACTCGGATTTCCACCATCGTGTACTGGTATATTCTTCCAACTGGAAAAATATACCAGCATTGCAATGCTGCGTGGGAGGCGCGCAGTGAAATTGGCAATGGTGCGACCTTGAAAGCGGTACACTGCACTGACCGCCTACTCATCCCCCCCCCCCCCCCCCCCCCCCCCCCCCCCCCCCCCCCCCCCCCCCTCCCCCTCTCTCTTTAGCATCAATCCTTATTTTGATGCCTGGTGACTCGCATTACCTACCAATGCCATAAAACTTCAAAACAGCATTAAGAGGAAAAACGCAGACACAATTGTAGCGATTGAGGTGATTTAAAAACGGGATACCAAAGTCGATGATAGGCGATGAAAGCAGCCAGAAAGTCTGAAACTTGATCCATTCTAAAGAATAGCTGAATGACTGAAATCTTGAGAGAGGTTTTGCAACAAGTTTTGAGCTATTTGCCACTGATCAGCGGTGCTTCTGTGCATCTCCCCAAATTATTTTGATTTTAGTGCAATTGCGTAATCTCTTCGCGTTCCTTCCCCCCCCCCACCCCCCACCCCTTACCCCACTACCACCACCACGCCAATTTGGCGTTGAACGTAACAAAATCAAAATAACGTCTTCCCTTAGCAGAAGCAGTGTCAGTGTCAGTGATGGTAGCAGCACCTTGATTGCTATTTGTCACTTTTATTGTACAGCTGCCATTCGCAAATCCAACAGAATTCAGGACATGCGAGTGGCGCAGCGGCAGTGCTCTTGTTTCCAACACTTGGGCACGGCGCGACTCCAAACCGCTGTGCTGTGCCGCCCCAGGCGATTTCTGCACGGACGGGGTCGAATTCACGACGGTGGGCATCGGCGCCTCCTTCCCAACCACCGTCTCCATGACGCTCCGCAACGCCTTCCACAAGGGTCGCGTCAACATACCCAACGTCACGCTGGTTGAGTCTGTGGCCGACTACAAGGCCCAGTTCCAGGCCCTCAAGGGGCACCTCATCGACGTGGTCGAGGTCGAGGTCGTGCCCACCTCCAGGCTCGCCCCCTGGGCGCCCCTCGCCCGGATGTGCTTCGAGAATTCCTGGGCCATTGCCCCGCCGGATTTTGAGTCCGTCACTGTGCGCGGGAGGAAGCTTCCCGTGGCTCGCCAGGCGTGGGATCACGTCAGCGCCAAGGCGGTGCTGACGCAATGGATCGTCATGCTGCACGCCAGCGCCCTGGCCGGGAGGCCCGTCCGGGAGGACGCCGCCAGCGCCTGTGAGCTCGCGCATGAGATCGTGGACTCCGTAGGCGTGGACCCCAGGGTGCTGCGCCACCCGAGCGAAACGGAGGACGCCAAGACGATCACCTTTTGCAGGCGGCTGAGGAAGGCCATGAACAGGGACAAGCACGACCTGGGGGCCCTGGTGAAGGAGCTGAGGCTGCTCGCCAAGGGCAATGCCATTTCGGACCTGTCGGACCAGGAGATGGCCCAGCGGCTGGCCATCGGCACGGTGGAGGGGCGACACCACGGGCGGGCCATGGACTGGAAGGGCTGCACTCCGGAGGACTTCGAGCAACACAAGGCGAGGTTCGTCGACCTGGCGGAGCAGCACATGGAGGGGCTGAGTTCGGGGCCGGAGGACAGGAACCGGTCGGCGGTGTCGCTGGAGAGCAATCGCGACGTGCTGCTGCAGGAAGACCTGCTGCAGGTGTGTGGGCGTGCGTTTTAATGAGCACATTAAGTAACAATAAATGACCCATCTTGTTGTTAACATAAATTAATATCATTGTAGTTGCATTTGTCACATGACAAAACAAAAGCCCTTGCACCAAGCTGGCAATGTCAGGCGCCGGTCCCAAGCTCATTTATTGTTCAAGTCCACAATTTTTTCTCACGAGCGCGTCGGGTCGGCCTCCGGCAGGGCATCCGCGAGGTGTCCTCGCAGTACTTCTTGGTGGAGTGCCTGCCGGTGGTGGGCCTGCCGCTGAAGATCCACGTCTTCGACGGCTCCATGATCAACCCCTGGCTGGTGAGGGTGGACCACGTGGCCCGCCACACGCCCTTCATGGATTCCGTCTCCGTGGACGAGCTGGCCGGCGAGGGTGGAGTCGCCAGGCTGGCCATTGGGCAGGCCGAAAAGGAGGAAGTGAACGCGGTCTGCCCCGTGTTCGACCCCGACGTCTGCCCCTCCATAGGGCCGTTCATAAGATCGGGGCTGTACCAACTGCTCATGACGCGCCAGGTATGGGAAAATGTGAAGACCTCTTGGCTGCTATTCAATTGAGTGGCCAGGCATGTCAGTACATTATGGACTTTTGCGATGCCGAGACTGGCTGAATATGAGCGTACGCGGCGCACCGCTGTGTTGGACTGGGTTTATTGTATTCTGCGCGCGGAAGAAATCATAACAAATTCGTTGGCGAGCAGAGGCTGCCTGTTCACATGTCGAGAAAGTGGTCACATGATAACAGCATGCACTCGCAGCTCTGAAATCGCCTAGGCGATCTCGGGCGCACTTCCGCGCCAAACACAGATCCACAATAAACCCTATTGCCGATTGCCCAACTGTGTCCCCGCACGGGCGGCAGGTGTGCAGGAACATCGACACACTGGACTTCAACTCCCACCTGGCGCTGCTGGCGGCCACGATGACCCACCTGATTCAGCAGCCCGAGTCCGCGTGGCGGGCGGACATGATCCGGTCCATCGTGGACACTGCGCGGGGCATCTACTTCGCTCGGCAGTCCATCCAGGCCTTCGTGGAGGCCCTCAAGGCCACGCCCGCCCTGGCAATGGTCACTATGCACCCCGACCTGCCCACCACGTGCGAGTCCATCTCCAAGGCCATCCTGCTGGCCGTCTGCATCCAGGACGAGTTGGATGCTGACGCAAAGAGGGACATCATTCTGCGCGTGCTGGCCGAGGCCATCGGGAGGGAAGTTTCCGGTGACGCAATCACGGACCGATACAGGCTGGACGGCCAGCTGCCCATTCCGGACGAATTCGACGTGGGGATGAGCGACCTGGGCCTAAGGCACCCCGATGCGTACTACACACGGGGAGACATGGAGCGCGAGGCGAGGCAGAAGCTGTATATGCTGAAGCCGGCGGGCCTGGATCTTGCCGAGGTCAAGTTCAAGGCCAAGAATGTGAAGTTCAAGGCGGCGTCGGATGTGCAGTACTTCGCCGACTTCCTGTGGGGAGGGCCGTTCAAGGCGAAGGAGCAGTGTCCGCAGTACTCCCCGGCGTCTTTCGTGGCTCACGCCTGCCAGCGCCCCAAGTCGATTGACCGCGCGAGGCACCCCCTGCCCGAGGCGCAAGAGGCCACGGACGCCATCGCGGCAGCGTTGGTGAACCACGAGATGCGCCATCTGAAGGAAAAGGTGCCTCCGCGGCTCCAGCGTGTTGGTGTTCTGGTGATGCAAAATGTGGCGTCGTGGGATATGCTCACGACGCTGATCGATTCATCATGGGCACTTTCCTGCCTCGCCTTTAGTGAATGGGTTGGGAAGATTACTCAAGACTGCCGCAACACAGATTTGGTCGTTATCAAATTGCACGCATGTATCAATATGTCATTTACGTTTTACAAATATAAGAAAGTGTTCGCTCAATGGTGAATTTTGGCTCCAGTATACGATTTCATGGAATTCATCTATTTTGCACAATTCACCTTTTGTGTAAGCAAGCACGCAAGTTGTGTGATCTGGGCAATTCCTGCCATTGAGGTGTGCTCCAGGTAGCACACCACTGTCGCAGCTGCGATGCACATGATAATTGCTGGGCTATTGGAACAGCAAGAAAGGGCAGCTGTGTTTGTTTTATTTACTCAAACAGCGGTGCCATGCAGTCATGGGTATGATTAGAAACATTGTGGTGTTCGAATTCTGCGCAATTCATGATTGACCGAGTCACCGCACGGATTTCAAGCAATTCCCAACATGCACCACTGTCCGAAAACGTCGCGTTTGGAATGCTAACTGCAATGAAATTTTGACACAAAGTGGCGCCAGCACTGTGTTCGCCATGGCACCGATTATCGTCAAATGGCATCGCAGAATTGCCGTTTTCTATTGGCACATATTTTCCTTTCAAATTCTCCTGCTCTGAAACAGCTGCCAAATCCCTCCGACACATCTTGAAGCGTCGCTTGCGGTTGTCTTCAGATCAGCGCCACTCTCGTGGCCCTCGTCCAAGAGCGCTACCTCTCCAACTACCTGGAGAGGCATATGGGTATGGTGCTGCCTCTGCTGCCCGCGGAAGTGCGCAAGTGGCAGGAAGACAACGGCCGCGAGATGGCGAGTCTGGCAGAGCTGGGCTACAACGAGGAGAGCGGGCTCTGCTACAAGGCCTGCATGTGCGTGGGGTGCCCGCACTACCTCGTGCCTTCCAAGAGGCTCTGCTCGCACCTGGACCCGCTGAGAAAGGACCTCCGAATTGTGAAGGCGTTCCACAGGACGATCAGGCTGCGGTGCAGGTCGAGTCTGGTGGCCATCCGGGCTGCCTGCGTGGCTGGCGAGGACATGATTTACGGTAGGAACAGCTGCGAGGAGAATTTCAGGCGCCACGGCGAGTGGCTGATGGCGCACATGGAGGCCGTGAGGGACAAGTACTTGCGGATTCAGCACCAGCTGAGGGGATACGTATCAGATTGAACGCTGGTAAATGAAGGCCGAAAGGCAAGGATGCTCTTATGGAGCAGGGGAGCGTATAGTTATCGACGGACGATCTTCAACAGGAGCACGTACTGTGCACGCGATTTGAATGGGCATGGCAGAATTTAGAGGGCAATCTTTTGCAGCTGATTACAGATAGGAAGGAATGCCCAGGACACCGGGACCAACGTCAGGGACACGGTGGCGTCTGTTGCCGCATCGGGCACAAACTTGTGGGATGGGTGCTCATGGCCGATGGCTGTGCTTTTCGCCCTGCGTTCGGAGATTTGTGGATCACGGATGCAACGAAATTATGGAAATGTCTTCTGCTATGGGCCATCTCAGCGCATGACCAGTGAACTTCCTTGCTGATGAAAGGCCAGTCATCGTGGTCGTTCGCAAGTGGAAGTGAGAGGGTGTCAGGACTTAGCTCTTATCAGCAGCAGGATGGTCACGGGGATAAGCATAGCTGTGTCTATGGCGTTCATTGCCGACAGAGATGCAAGGTAGTGGTGATGGTGAATTTGCAAGCAGAGTCTGCGAGAAAAGGGTGTCATGAGGAGAAAATCAGATTTCACAACAGTGCTGTTTGCCGAACAGCATCGTGCTTTGCTCCAGCTGTTTGGACATTGTCTTTTTAGAGGGAGTGTTAATTTTACTGGGGAGTGCTAATTTCATGTTTAAATCATTTTCTTATGGCCATGTATTCAATTTCTGAGACATTTCCGTTGCAAGGCTAGAGTTACAATCGAGTGGCAATACCGCATCCAATATCGAACACCTCGCACATTTGACCTCAGAATCGAGAATAGTTAAGCGTCCCCAGCACGCCCCTCCCCAATGGACCTTCAAGCTGGCTCTGCTTGGCGAGTGCTGCGTCAAACAGATTTAAGATTTGGCGACGTGTTAGCCAGAGGGTCATGTTCTGCCAACGATTTCTGCCTGGCTCCAGTTCTGGGCCCACAAGTCCAGGAACCCTTGCTTAGGCGTGCTCTGTTGTGGTTGGCGCCAACCTTGCAACCGAAAATTTGTCGCCGGTGGATTCCCGACAGAAAAAGTTTGGTTATGGCCTTCCAATGTTGGATTGAGGAAATGGCGCACAAATAACGCCAAAACGCTCTATGCAATACAGGCAGGCCAAGTGTTGGCCGTAGTTCCACCGGGATTATCCCGACTTGTCCTTGAAAGGACGAGATAGAAAGTATTATTGAGTTGATTGGAACTGAATTATGGCCTGTCTGCGCCGGTCTGGCACTGGAACGATCGAGCCCATTGCTGTGATTTAATTTGAGACTGTGGATCGGATCAGCGACCTGATCCCGAGTCCTGATCCCTTTTGTAGCAATCGTCGCAATCGAATGCGTGCAGCGATGGGCCACAACGCAGCGCAAGTCAAGCCTTTTTGGTTCGACCTCTGTGGCAACCTTAGTGCACGCGGTGCTCAAACGCACTCGCCGTGCATGGCAGGACAAGCATCCAAGACTCCACTTGTCTTACATCCAAACCAAGAGAAGCCACGAGCAAGTCTCGGGCTCTCTTTGAATACAAAAATGCGCCTCTTTTTTCGCCCACCAGAACTCGGACTCAGAACGGTAGACTGAACTCACACTTCACACATGCACAACATGCTACCCCACAGCACCGACCCCTAGCATCGACCCAGGGCACCGCCCCACAGCTCAACCCATGGCACCAATTGATGATCACCCAAATAGTACAATTGAAGCTGATTGTTGGCCAGAAATCCTCCCGCCATCTCAGTCAGGTCAATGTGTGCACCAGTCAGCAGCACATGACCAGGCGCTTGCACAACACGGCAACTTCGGCTATCTTAGTGTGTCAGACTTTCATCTCTTTGAACTGGCTCTTTAATATATATTCACTTTTCTCATTGACTTTCACTGCACATCAGTGTTCAGCCACCGACCTGCAGCTACGAGAACTGGAGAGTTGCATGCGAAACATCCAGAGAAGGTGACAGTCATTCCAATATATTGTTCGGCATTCCTCGAAACGGGATTCTCAGATGCCACCATTTAATCATCGGATTACAAATCAGTAATCGACGTAGGCAGATCAGTGGCCAATTACTGGTAATTCGAATATGCTCCCCAACTGAAGATGGCGTTGAGGCTCCAACGCACGCGCTAAAGCATCTTTAATGCGCATTAAGAATCTGGGTGGCAGCCACTAGCTAAAAAAGGAGCAAATAACACTTTTTGTGAACACATATGTACGCATTTCATTAGTATACCGCATGGTGAAACCATGGAAACATCCAAAACCCGTAAACTTTGTACACATTTGGACACATGTTATGTGGCCTTTTCTCTCCTGGTGAGCAGATGGAAACGCCAGAATGGGAAAAGGACTGAATTTTGGATGGTTTTGTCAACTTGTGGAGGCGCAGGGTGGGCGTGGTGCTGGGCGTTTCTTGGATTATCGACCTCAGATAATTTAGTGTGGCTCTCTTAGAAAATGTAATCATATTCCCACTGCCAGATAGATGTGGTAGATCGCTTCCCTTGGGCCTTGAAAGGGATACAAGAAATGGCTCCATCGTCTACTTATTTGCAGGTGCTGGGGGGCCTCGAGGAGGTGTTGAGCCAGCAAATTGTTAGTTGTAGCGTGCGACGTGGCTGCGTTGGATCCAGCGCCAACGTGCGCCCGCCTCCGGGCCTGCGCGCCTCCCTCGAGCGCGGGGGGAGGTCCTCGGCACGCCCACGGGGCTGCGCCTTGTGCCGGTGCAACTGGCATCCAGTCATTCCCCCGCCGGTCCGCCATACGGCACACCGGGACGCCGAATACACTATACACTACCCCCGAAACAAAACACAATAATTCGAGACTACAACACTTTTCCAGTGCTGTGCCTAAGTACACCTTTTGACGAGGTGAACCAGCCCCTTTTTCAGAAGCTGTTTGGTGGTGTGCAAATCCCTTTTCTAGGGACCAAACACACACATTTTTAACCCAATATAATACATGCTTTTTCAGCATGTTTTCCCTCAACCCAACTGCCAAATCAGTTCAGGGAATCCAGTTTCTTCACCAGAAACTATCCCTGCAACTTCTCACAGTCTCGCAGCTCCTTTTTTAGGGTTTGTTGGGTGGCTGTACATCCTTTTCCAGGGATTCAGTCGTGCACCCATTGTAATCAAATGCCAAACATGCTTTTTTAGCATGTTTCCTCAAACGCAGATGGTGGACTTCAGTTTCTTCTTCAAAAACTAATCCTGCAACCATTCACAATCTTGCATCTCCTTTTTCAAGAGCAGCACAACTTTTTCAGTGGCAAACACTAAACATTTCTGCCCAATTTCAAGGGCAGCGTCACTTTTTCAGTGGCAGCCATTTACAACCACTTTTTAGTGGTATACATTAACCATTCCCGTCCAATTTCAAGGGCAGCACCACTATTTTAGTGGTAGCCACATACAGCCACTTTTTCAGTGGTATACACCAACCAATGCTATCCTTTTCCAATGACAGCGCCACTTTTACAGTGGCAAGCAAACTCCAGCCACTTTTCTAGTGGCAATTACGACTTGCATCATGTCGGAGACACCAAAAGGATGCACGAGCTGGAAAGACACTTCAGCTCAGTGCCATGCCGGGGAAAGAGACACCGGGGTACCCCGGCATGTTCCTTAAAGCGCATGCCTGAAAAATGGACAACCAGGGGCACAACCCCATAAATGCACAACTGTGTGAGCCCTTGGCTGGAAAGAGACATCAGCCAGCGGGGCACAATCTGACGCCCGCACAGACCAGTCATGAATGTTGCAACTGGTCCAAAACTCCTTGTTCAGGAATTTTTCCGCTTCTTTGTCACTTGTTCAGTGACATTTCCACATTTTCCTCCTCTCTGTAACTTATTCAGCGGTATTCAGAGCACCATAATGACCTCAGCGTCTGGGGCCACCGAAGAGTGGGCAGGTTGGGCAACATACCAACATGACCCCATGTTGAGGAAAGATATACCCCAACATGTTTCCTAGGGCCCAAACATGTGAACAGTGCAGCCCAGAACAAAGTTCTGTGACCGGCAAATCAGACTCTACCCATAGCTGGAAAGAGACATCAGTATATGGGATTGAATCTGGACCAAAGTGACTTGCTGAATCGGCTGGCAACACAGCCAGCACGTATGCTTTCTCCATGGCATTCTGTCAGCTGTGAGTGACTGATAAATAAGCGAACACATGCAGCCTTAGGAAGGGGTAGTCCACCCTGGAAAGAGCCATCAGGTGTGGGCCCAAGATTTCGGTCGCGCATGGTTCCTTTTCAGCCTTTTTCAGGCCAGCACCCTCTTAGCCTATGGCGTTTGGTTTTGAGGCTGGACACACACCCAAACTGGGCAGTATCCTTATTCAGGACACATAGCCCCACCAGAAATTGAGAGCCGTGGTCAATACTGGTGAGGCAGCGTTCACTGAAATACTGTTGCTGCATAGGGTTTCGCTCAGTCGTCACCAAGCTCCCCTTGAGGCAAAGACTCCTCTCAATTTTCACGACCAGCTTGCCTTATTGCCAAAAGCGCAAGCACTTGACCAATTCTTGTTCCTGTTTTTGCCTTTTTCTTTTTCTAGCCTGTGGTGGCATACTCGGGCCATCCCACACAGTCAGCATGCGTGTCAGACGTGAGTCCCTCGCCAGCTGAATCATAAGTTACTCACCCAGTGAAACGGTGGTCATTATGCAGCTGCGCGAACAAAGCGAAAATCCGCCAGGCGCCTCCCGCGGCTGCATCACGTCATCGGATCACCTCATCCCTCGCCTCCCTCCCCCGCTGCCACTTTCCCTCCAAACTTCCCTCCACTTGGTGCTCGGCACACTTCTTCTCTCCACACCAGGCGCCTTCTTCAGCTTCCCCCCCCGAACCGTCCACCTCCCACCACAGCGTCGCCCCCAGCACAGGCGACCAGGAACTGACCCACCTTTCTCTTGATCTATCGTTTGACCGGCACCGCTGCCCTTCCGCTGCCTGCTCCTTCCATTTTTGGAGCCGGTGCCGCTTCGGCGCCCAACGGCGTTCCCCGGCGCGATGGCGCTGTCGATGGTCCGCCACGAGACGAGCGAGTGGGAGGTGGTGAAGACGAAGAGGGGCGGGGACAGGAGGAGGGAGGGGGCCCAGGCGAGGGCCAAGCCTGCCACCACCGCCGCGGACGATCCAGAAACGAAGGCGTTCGCGGCGTTCGACGCGCTGCACGCCAGCACGGTGAGCGACGGCCTGCTCCCGGGGGGCGAATGTGTCGGTGAGCACGTTAAAGTAGATGGCTGACAGGGGAACAAACCGGGTACCTCTGGATGGGATGTCCCACTGCTCTCCCAAACCACCTGGCCAGGGGCAAGGAAGGGTGTGGTCCAACCCCACAAGTACCCTCCTCCCAACAGTGGCATTGAATGCCGCCCGGGTCCGCGGCAATGGGGAGCGGGCCCCGGTCGCCGGTGATCGTTGTTGGAGGCCGCGCAGACCTCGTTAGCCGGCTTGACCGCAGCGACAAGACCCGTCCCGCGCTCGGGCGCCCTGCAGCCTGCGGGGTGGATCGAGCCGATTGCGGGGGTTTCGGAGGTGTGATTGGGAGATCTGGGCGGTGGGCTTGGGCTGGTTGATTGGGTTGGGCGCGGGTGGGTTGGGTGCGGTCCGGCGGGGTCGGGCAGCGCCGGGGTGAATGTTGTCTTCTCTGGCGGCGATGGCGAGCTGGAGGGTTTCTGGGGTGTGAGCGCCGCTGTGGATCGCAACGGGAGGGGGGTGGGGGGTGGGGGCGCCGCGCGAGGCCGTGAGTGATGCCCGGGAGGTGGTGGCCAGCCCACCCTCCCAGCCGCAAACCGCTGTGCCACGCCCCTTGATCTCCTTTCGCAGCATGGTTGTGATTGCCGCAGACGATCAGCGCGCCATTGCGGATGGCTCTTTCAAGAGTGAAGATCTCCGCTCCCCACGTGCTTTGATTGGGACAGCTCCCGCAGTGCACTTCACCCGTTCACAGCCCGTGTTTCGGGTGACTCACCCTCGCTGCACCGTTAGTGGTGGCGCCATGCGATCTGCAGCGACCTTGCCGTCCTGATTCGACTGCGTTAAGCGGCCACCTGAATCTCAGGTTTGCAGAACCTGCACATGTTTCCAATTGGAGCGTATTATCATTGTGGTGCTGCACCTTCCTATAGCTTTTGATCATCGTCGGCAGCAACAACAACAGCAACAGCGACCGGTGAATTAAGTGTGGCTTTGTGCAGGATGAGCGTCGTGGGGACACCTCACGTGGCAGCAGCCCTCGCAGCCTACCTGCCCCCGAGACGCCCCCTCGCCCAGAGCAGGCCCCAGCATCGATGAGCAAGAAGAAGGACAAAAAGAAGAAGCAGCAGCAGGTGAAGGAGGCTCCGCAGAAGACGCAGTCTGCCCCACCGTCTCCAGGTACAAGGCGTTGCCGGCTTCTTGGAGATCCAGCGGAGATCATGTGCTCAGACTGCTTCCTGGCAGTGGCCCCCTTTGCTGTTGTGGAGTCCTTGTTTCAATTTTTCGTGCAAGAAGGTTGCAGGGCACGCATAGACTGGCCACTTGCCTGGTAGCAAGAGGGTGTGTGCCTCCTTGGACACTCACATGCCCCCCAAAAACTTTGTTAGTTGCTTGGGGGATGTTTGAAAACAAGTTGAACAAGAACGTGCACAACCTGGTAAATCTTGTGTGGCTCTCTTCAAGGTCTGACTCTTCAAATGCTGGAGATCATTTTGGGGGATGTGGCAGTGGCATACCCTGACAACGAGGTGGCACAGATCCAGTACGTGGCAGACAAGTTGCTGGCCGCGTACAAAGACATATCAATGCCCTTCCCTGCACAAATCTACACGAAGCCCATGGATGAGGTGCGCATGCAGCCCATCAAAATTGGCAAGGCGTGATCCGATAAGTATTTTTAGTTCTTTGACAATCTTAATTGGATGGAGATCGAACAGGGCTGTTTGTATTGGCAGTATTGGGGATTTACTCAGCAGTGAACGGCAGTTGCCTGTGCTTCATGATGACAACTGAGCTGATTCTTGTGTTGCCCTGATTCTTATGTTGTCTTTGCCTGTCCTTCTGTTGCAGACACTCAGCATGTTTGACAACATACTGTCTACCAACATGACAGTTGAGTTGGCGAAATTTCTGAGGTCGAAGTCGATCGACGCCCTTGAAGAGAGCTTCGCCACTTTCTCCAGGGCGTTGTTTGACTATTCCTTGGGCCCCAAGGCTCAGTTGAAGAGTCATGCTGGGCTGGTGGTGATGATTGTGGCCATGGCAAGATCTGTGCCTGTTGCCATTGTGAGGTGTTGCAATGCCATGGTGGCTGAAGGCTCAAGATTTGCAGCTCCAGACAAGCTGCCACTGCTAGTGTGGGTTTTCGCCCAGGCAGAAAGGTGTGCGAACATTCCTCGTGCAGAGTACGTGTGGGATTCAAGGTGCTGGGGAAGATCAGGATGGATACAAGAATTGCTTGACAACACAGTAATGAAAGTTTGAATCTCGAATTCGCAGAACTCAACTGCAGGCATGCATCCAACTATGTATGTGCCATAGGTGACAATGGCCGATAGCTCATGATTGGGATTGGCATATTCTCCACCCCCTTGATGCCAGTCAGCTGGGAAGCCAGGAAAGCATGGAATCTGTGGGTCCGACAGATGCCTAAGCTCCACACAGCAAGGCCCACATGGCAGTAACATGGACAAAGGGGAGGGATGCAAAGCGAGTCAGGAGAAGCTGCCCTTTCACTAGATGATAGCAAGAGCTGCAGACACCCCTTCCTTCCATCACCTTTCGTGTGTGCCACAGGGGTGCGACTGGAAGTCTGCTGGCACTGTGGCTTCAGGCGATCCTCCCACAGCTGATCGGCCTGGATCAGGGCAAGGGCAAGAAAGGAAAGGGCAAAGTGAGCCAGCAGGGGTACATCCTTGACCCTGCGACCTATGCCACCGTTGAGGACTGCCTCAGACGTGGTCTCAGTGGCGGAAATGGTGCAGGCTTTTCGGCTGCAGTTAAGCAAGCTGCAAAAGATGGGCTCACGGTGAAGTGCGACGGAACTGAGGTGAATACATGTACATGTAGATACAGACACAGACACTACCATAGATATACATCCTTACCCTTCTGTGCGATTGTTGGCATGTGCAGGGAACTTTCCTGTGAAATAGAGTTTGGGTGTCGATGCATCGAAATGGGCACTATAGCCCATGGATTAGCGGGGCTGGCAACGTGATATGGGGGAGCCATTTGCGATGCAGTGCTGGCCTGTTAGATTGCTTGTTGTTCAGCCCCAGGCGATACATGGCAGTGCAGAAGTGAGTGAGAAAGGCTTTGCCATTGAAAGGGCAGGCATATGTGTGGCATCTTAGCATCACACTTGCAACAAAAGGGAATATTTTATTTCTCAAAGCACCAACTTCACTGTGGCATTCAATGAGCAGAAGCCAGTTAGCAGGTTTTCATTGTGTGGCCTGCCATGCTTATGCCGCTGCAGCTTGTCTCCTGCCCAGGTGACTGAGCCCATCATCTCCCTCACATCCCTGGATCTGCTCCGGTCTGCAATCCACCTGCACCACGCCCGTGTTCCACCACGGGTGCTGTCCCAGCTGCAGGAGGCCTACCCTGTGCTGCGGTCCATCGCGCTGTCATCTGCCTCGAGGAGCTCCACGCATGTCTTCCTGAAGTGCTCGCTTGAGTTCGCATCCAAGACCGAGGGGGGCGTTCTGGGCCAAGGGGATGCAGCAGTGTCGGAGGCAGCTGAGAACGTGATCGCCTGCCTTGCCAAGGATGCAGAGTGCTTCGAGGTGTGGACCACGAAGCACAAGGGCCACATCAGGGGAAGCTGCAGAATCTTGCAGCACCTGCTGCATGCACCGCCGGCATCTTTTCGGAAGCTGCTGTCCAGTTCATCCAACAAGGACCTTTTTGTGGTAAGTGGCTTGCCTGGCACAGTCCGATGTCCTTCAGCTTATCTTGGGAAAAAGATGCTCAAGGGAAGAATAAAGGTAACAAGCAAATAAAAGAATGGTTGTGGCCCTGGCAGTCATCTGTTTGATATACGGTGGCACACAGGATATGCATGAAGAATACCTGTGTTTTCATTGGTTGTGGGTGATTACATGCCAGTGCATTGTCTAATGGCAATAGATTGGTCTGATGCGTACCCACCCTAGCATCTCAGACCTGCCAATTGACAGCGTTGCACACCTGGATGCCCAGTTGTATGTAGCTCTGCTTGGCATTGGTCTTGAAGCTCACGTCAAAGCTTGACAGGCACTGCAAGAGCGCATTGCTTCACCCAAGACAAGATTATGATTGATAAGCAGCTACCTGGGTGCACCTGCGAACCAGTGTGGGAGTGCCTAGCAAGCACATCTATGAGATTGTCTGATGCCAATCATTAACTTGAGCCTGCCTGGTACGTTTCCTCACATTGGCAAACAGAAGCACACTGTGAGGCATCAACTTGCAGGCATCAAGGCATGTTTGTTCAGCAGAGAAGGATGTTGACGATTGTGCATGCAATGATGGACACAGGCGAATGAGCAAAGGGCTGCTGGGCATTTCAAAATTCCTCAGCTGTCACTGTCCCTGACTCCATGTGCTGCTGTTGCTGTGCAGAAAATGTTGAAAAAGCTGCAAGACCGCCATGGCTTCCTGCTTTCACAAGGGAAGGGATGGCAGGGGGCGTGCGCCCGTGGCGCCCAGGAGGCCTGCAAGGCTTTCCTTGGAAAGGGCAGTGGGGCGATCTCCAAGAGCGGCAGCAGCATCTCGCCAAAGAACCTCTTCCTGCTGTGTTTCTTCCTGGGCCTCGGCGTCACCTATCTCGTGACCAAGTGGGACGATGTGGCTTTTGGAGTGAGGGAGTTTTTGAAGACGGAGCAAGGAAGGGCGGTGCTGGAGATCTGGGAGAGAGTAGACAAATCTGCCAAGGAGTTGGCCAACTCAGAAAACGGGCAATGGGTTTTGCACAAGGTAGAGATGGCCACAGACGCGGCCTTAAGGTGGTTCGAACAGGCGAGGGAGGTGTCCATGAGGCTCGGGAATGCGCACACGAGCTCGTAATGGAGGTTTTTGTGACATGGCACATGGAACGTGCTCTCTCGTGCAGCCGGCTTTAGAGATAGAGCTAACTTAATTATGACAAGCTAGAAAGGCAAAATAATCGCCGTGCGCTCGTTCCAGGGCCAAAGGCAGTTGTTGCGATGGCAGCCAGTTGTAGTGGCCAGCCACTGGAGCATCGTCGATCGCTCCAGCAGGGAAAAAAATGAGTGGATCTGGTTCACTGTCAGAAAGTGCAGTTGGAGATCAAGCGTGCCCCGTTCGCAGCAGATTCGTGATGGTCAGGCATCCACATTTTGAGAGAGATATTGCTTTCGCTTGGGAGGTCTCGTGACCCTTGAAGCGTGTCCTTGGCGATAAAATTGACACTGTCGGTCAGTGTTTGCGCCCAAGTAAAGATAAGCTCATGGACAGACCCCGTGAAAGAAGTTTGCTTCCAGGTGTTTTTCAATTTTTCTCGAGTACGTAATATCCCCATCCCGCCTCGTCAACGTAGGTTCGGTTCGCTGCTTTTCTAGATCGTCCTTCTGACGGAATCTTCACGCTGGCAAGACCTGGTGGGTATTGCAGAGGTTTGGCGCCAAACCGTAGAGTGTGAAGTGCGAATTGCATTGCACCGCTTTGTGTCCACCGCGCCGTCTCCCCGTTCAGGTGCATTGGGCACATCAGATACTAATGGCGGATACTGTCACAGCTGCTGACCCCGAGTACGTAGCAGTTGGAATTCAGATGCCATACTTGGTTTTTCGCCGTAAAAACTGATCGTATTTACGTTTTTATGGGTAAAAGCAATTTCTACGTTTCTACGCGTAAAAATGCGTAAAAATACGTAAATACAACGTAAAAACTGTCCGGTGTACATAAGGACAGTACATACAGATTTACGGAGTCCGTAGAGTGGCAGCTAGGCGCCCCTGGAAGGGGCAGAAAACGAGTTTTTTTGTTAAGCGCCATCATCGCCCTTGCCAAGGGCGAGGTGGACATTGTGTTGCGGGTGCTGGAGTTGGCGGAGGACTGATCATTGTACGCAATTTTCAACGTATATCCTGGGTGTCCCAGGGAGCCGCAAAAACGTAAGAATAGCCGGTAAAATAGGCCCTTTTGCAAATTTACGTTTTATGCGTAAAAACGTAAAAGTAAAAACATAAACGTAAACGTAAAAACCCAGCCTGACAACAGTGAATCCTGTGGGGGTGAAGGATTTGGATGCCGCCAATGAGCCCAATGTTCAAGGGTTTTGCGAGGCAGTGCAATACACCATCGGCTCGCCCCAGGATGGGCAGCACCTCCTTTGGTTGCTCAGGAGTGCTATCAATCGTGCACCTGTAGCCGTGTGCATGTGATGCAGGCACACACACGCCGTTGGGGCCCCAGCCAAATCGGCGGCAGAATCAGGTCGATGCATGAGAAAAGGACATCGGGATGGATACCCCGAGAGCATGCGGGCCCTTGCCTTCCCCAGCAGCAAGCCTGAAAGTGGGTGTTAAAGTTCCCGGAACAAAGCTAATGCAAGACACAATGAAGTCCATGAGAATGGAGTGTGTCTCTGACCGTCTGACTGACCAGAGATGAAGCTGAAAACACGTTGGTTATGCACTCAACAAAATGCACCGAGACAACAAGCTGTTAAGGTGCCAATTCGTAGCGAGCTGCGGCCAGTTCATTAAACCGTTAAACGATTTACATTACCCGGTTAATGCGGCGCAACATCCGGCGGGCAGTCAGCTGCCGCTTGCGCCTTGGATGCTTCCCGCGCGCGCGACTTGCTCAGGAGTACGCGGCTGGTCGGCGCGAGTGCGCGGAAAGGAGCGACCGCCGGCGACTGTGCTGGGCGACAGTGGCCGGACGTGGCGGACATCGAGGGACGGCTTTCGAAGCCGATGCGCAGCTGACCGGCGAGGCGGAGGTGTCGAGCCATGGAGCTCGTTCTGGCGGAATGGCGGAGGTGCTGAGCAGTGCGAGTGCGGCAAAGTTGGTCGGAAAGATGGCGCGGAGCAAGAGAACCCTAGCGCGCATCGAGGGGAAGTGCGATGCGTTGTTAAGGGCAGATGAGGGGGGCGCCTTACGAGAAAGGGCGGAGGCGGGCAGTCCGGAGGCCGCGGGCCGATCGTCCCCGGCCGCTCAAGCGGCCTCAGCGATGGCCGTCAGGGAGCTCGTCGTTGAGCTCCGGACGGAGGCGGTGGAGGCGCCGAGGTCGGCCGCTGAGTGGGCCTCCATGGCCATCCGGAGGGCCCTAGGAAACCCCCCCGAAAGGGGGATGCACGTTCCCCCGGCCGGTCCGGAGGGATGGAGCAGCGCGCCGGGGCCGGAGGAAGCGGCGCCCGAGCTGCGCCTTATCGAGTGCGGGCGGGCGGAGCTCGTGAGCGGGCAAAGGCCGCGGGAGGAAGGCTCCGAGCAGTTCGGAGGAAGGAAAGTCATGCACGACGCCCGGATTGGCCGAGCGTCGTGAAATGTAAACTGCAAGGAGTGTTTGTGATTGATAGGAAAAGGGGGAAAACGGTTTGATAAGGGGAAGTGAAGGTAATAAGGAAAGGATATTGTAACCCCTATCAGATGCATGAGAAGTGACCTGTACGCATGCACAAAGGCTTTAGAGGAGGGGGTGCGTTGGTTCTTGGGGTGGTGATGTTTTTTAGTGAAACGGTTGGAGAAAGGTGATGTAACCGGGTACCAAAGTGGGTGAATGATAATGTGATGGAATCCAACGTTGGGAATTCACTCAGGACGCTGCGAAGAGGATCCAACGCACTGCGAATTCGTAGTGGGAAGTGGCATGTGGAGAGTCCGAAGGGGGGGTGTTGTGATGCCTAGCAACTGGGGTATATAGGGGCTGGCTTTGGGCCAGTTTGGACAGCACCAAAGCCAGCGCCGCGAACCGCCCCAAACGGACGACAACCAGAGCTGTGAGAGAGCGCTGTGGAGCTGCAGCCAAGGCACAATCCGTCGTTGGTGTTGACTGGCGGGGCTGGATGGTGTGGCGTTTTGGGAATCGCTGATCGAAGTGAAGAGTTGGTGTTGGGAGTGAAGTATAGTGACGGGTGAAGTTGGATCTGTGAGAAAGGGAAGTGGACAAAGTGAAAGCGTTCTGTGGTGTTGTTGAGCGTTGTACAGACGTTGTGTAAGTCCTGTAGGTTGGCTACTTGCCTGATTGAGCATCGTGATTTTGAGTTCCAGACAGAATTGTTGAGCCGTTGTTCTGACCGACTCCTGGCTGGAAAAAGGTGGCCGGAATCAAATTGCATGTCCCTTGAGCTATCTCTGAAGTTGACTTTGGAAGTCAGCTGTGTTCCCCTAGCACAGCAAAGTCAGGAAACGGTAAATCCAAGGCAAGTGTCCTGTTGCCCCTCGACCGCTGACCAGGAAAGCAGGAAGCAGCGGAAAAGAAGGCGTGAGGTGGCAGAAACTCCAGAGAAAATTGAAGGAATCCCTTTCCTGAAGAGAGCGGCGGTTGAACGTGTTTGGGTGGAGCAGAGGAATCTCCCACCACATATCCTTTCAGTGCCAGAAGTCCGTCACCTCCCCTTGGAAGTACAATCCTTCCTCGCTGCTCATTGGGCAGATTGTGAGCGCTCTTTTCAGGAAGCCGGAGACTTCATACGACAGGAACTGACAACGACTCTGCGGGAAAACAGAGTGGTGCGGGCGGCTGCTTCAGGAAAAGTGGACAAAGAGGGGGATTCTGATCGGTTTGGCAATAGAGAGGTGGAGGAGAATTCCAGCTCAGGGGAAGAGATCCCTTCAAATTGTGAAGTACAGGGGAGTTGTACGGAGGGTATTTCGATTGGGGAGTGAATGTTTGGGGGTTGTCTTTGCTATAGTGACGATATCGTGGTGTGGACAAGTGGAGCAAGGGTAGTGGTGATTGTCCAATTGTGTTTGATTGAGGGAACAATCGTTGTGATTGTTGTGGTGAAAAACCTCTTGTAAAACTCTTTTGTCTCAAGGGGGTTGTGTCTCAAGGGGACCGTGACCTACTGGCCATATCATGGCGGTCACAAACAGGGTCCTTCAACAATATCTTGAAGAAAACCCCAAATTTCTTGACCACTTCAGTGGTTTCGATGCTCTAAAGTACATCAAATCTGTAATAACCCAACAGTGTATACCGAACCCAAGTATATCGGCTCATAACGACCAAGAAAGGACCCATACCGGCTGGGCTCTAGAATATCTCGTCATTTACACAGTGGTACAGTGCAATCCACAAATAAGGTCTTCAGATATCAAAAATATGCAACAGAAGCATCGAAACATCGGCCAAGGCTACGTTTGCGCCTGAATTACTTCTTACTGAACAACCCGTCGCATCCACCTCTCCGCAGCTGTAATTTGCGCTTCTCCTCTAGCTCACTGGACGAGTGGGCCTATCGTGCAGGGAGTCTCACTCCCTGAGTGAAGCGACTCACATCCCGTTGTGTCAAGCACGATTCGGATGGGGCGTCAATGGGGTTTACAATATTTTGGCCTTTCCTGCTTATGGATGTTATGTACACCGTGCGGCGCATATCTCTTTCGTAGTCCGTCAGGGGCGTGTCCCTCTTGCCACTCAGCCTCACCAAAAACCAGCCCAACGGATCCTTTCTGTGTTTGGGCCTGAATGAACTATCAAATGAGTTGACGGCTCCCACATTTTGCATGTTCGAGTATTCCCATAAGTGAAGACACCCAACCATCGATGTTCAACTTGCCACGCTCTCCCCACGTGGTACCAATCCCCCACTTATCCTGCCTTACCATAGCCGGCTGGTGATGTCTGCCTTGTCGATCCGGCATGGAATTGATACCCAATTAAAATTGCCTCATGTTACCACCATAATTTGAGGTACCTCTTGCCCTGGCAGGCATTGGTCCAGCCTGATTGCACATCATGAGATCGCTTGTGAGATACATGCATAAATACTACAGAGCTGCCCTGAGCATGGCCCCTGACATGATCCACCGATCCTAAGCTACACTAGACGAGCTGGGTGGGGCGTTGTTCTTGCGGATGATCATCAGACGACAATCAGTAGACATTCTTCGTGTGCAGCGGGGGCAAGTTCTGAAAACTGTGAACGAGGCTCTGCTCGATGAATGGTAGCGTCGATGGCACAACGCTGACACCCGATGCTTTTTGCATGACCTTCTACGGGATTGTGGAGCGCCCTGGAGTCCTGATGACACCGATCACTGCCAACGCTCTGAGCATGTTTGGGTGGCGCGCTTTATGACCGGCCACTACCACCTTGGCAATTTCAAACTACCGCAAGATGATGACGAGCTGGTCGATTGCGTATTATGCCGCATAATATATGCGAGGAACACTATCATCGAGATCATTTTAAAGATTGCAATGGCATAACCGATTTGCGTACAAAGTGGCTGAACTCGGAAGGGATTGATTTGTCAAGTCTGCGCAATCTGGTATGGAACTATTGCGGCAGATTGGGAGCTTTCTGAGCTCAGTGAGTGACCGCATTCGAGCAAAGGAGGTGAACGAGGAATAGCCTGTTACTCTGATTTCTGGCTTGCAGACATTTTCTCTTGTTTTCGTGGGGCAGATTCTAGGGGTTCGGTGGCAGCTGCGGCCGCCATTACAGGCGTGTTTTTCAGTTACATAGTTGGGCCCGGACTTGCCCCTCGCACATTGGATGGTACGCTACAATGATTGATGCCATGACATCATGTCGATGTATCCATGTAAGGAAGAAACAAACAAACAAACAAACAAACAGTCGTAATTTACGATGGTTGAGAAATGGGATGCTCGAAGCAAACCATGATCATTATGAATGATGGCAAACCAAGGCTACAGCCTTGGACGCGGCCAATTGAGAATTTTCGGGTTTCCTTGCAGGCCGAACGCTCAAAGGAGATTTTCGGACAAGCCAAGGGCGGTTGTTACCTCCTCAGCTTCTGTCGCAACGACATACGGATTACAACGGCTGTAATCCTTCCAGAAACTGCGCTGGTCGTACAGAATCGACAGCAGCTGGGCAGATAGTAATAGCCTCAGAGGCCTGGTCCGTACCGCCTCGCACCGTTACGGGGCAGTACGGAACGGACCTCTGACGTTAATCTGACGTTAAAACGCAGGAAATAGGCAGTGTGTCACCTCCCTCCACCACTCCCACTACTGCACATAACATTACCCACTCGGGACCCACGATTTGCGCAGGTTCACGCAACCGCCGGCAGTCTACCAAAACCCGTGGGCGCATACCGGTGCCGACAGGGGCCATAAGCAACCCCACTCTCAAGGCCTATCCCCGCCCGCCCACTGCTGAGCCCCGGTGCCTTGGGGGCCCCCAGCCGCGGCCGACCTTTCTCTGGTGGGCGTTAGAGATGCCCTCAGATGGCGCTGCGGCTGGTTCTGGGGGGTCCCTCCCCAATGCCATCCAGGTGCCAGTGCTGGAGCGCACGACCACCTGGACGCGGCGGGGCTGCGTGGACGTGGGCGGGCCCCTGGGGGAGGTCCTTTCCACACGCTCCTATCGCCTGTTCTTGGTGTACATTGTGTACATGAGCGGTGGGTGCGGCAATGTCCCTCGCTGGGGGTGTGCGGAGGGGACACTGGGCATTGACGGGGTAGCGCCGTCGCGGTGCCGTCGATCGGGCGCCCGGGCGGCGGCTGCGGATGCCAGGCGTGCCGCGAACGTCATCTGCGTCGTAAAGGCTTGGGGAATGCGGCGCAGAGGGCGTTTAGGCGTCATGGCGCGCATAGGGATCCCTGACGCTGCCCTGGGGGGGCCGGCGCCCGGAGACGGTCTGGGCGGGAAGGGTCACTTGTCGGAGATGTGAAACGTGCGCGGCAATTACGACAGCGCAGGTCCTTTGCTTGTTCGCAAGGGGGGCGGTGGCGCGCAGGCGGAGCGCGCAATGCGCCGTGGCCGCGAATTCATCGGGGCATCCGCCCGCCGGGTTGCACAAGGGTTTGCATTCGCCTCCAGACGGCTTGGGAGTCGCAACGCCTGGCCTTGATCTTTCGCCGGAATTGGGTGTGCGCGGAGCGCAGCGGAAGGCGAGAAAAGTCCGCCGCGGATTGGGGGCCCCCTCGCTGGCTGCCTTGCCCCGATGGGAATGGGATTTGGGCGGGCCGACTCTTGCCTACTTGCGTGCAGGCCGATCGCGCGCGGCGTGTGAAGCGGCGTCGACGCTTGCCTGGCGGAGAGGCGTCGGATGGCGAAGGTCGGGGGAGTGGGTGGGGAGGGGCAGGCTGCGGCGTGCCGTCGGGCCTTGGAGGCCGAGCGCTTGCGACTGTGGGCGCTGGCTTGCGCGTTTGCTGGAACCCTGGCCATGGGTTGCAGGGCCACGTCGGCGGCGTCCGATTAGTGAAGTCGTCTTACTGCCGGAATCGCCTTTGCTGTGTCGTAGATGGCTTGCTGCAAACCTTAAGTACCGGAAAGGAGTGTGGCGCTGATGTCTGCGTTCGGGCGCAGGGGGAGAAAAGGGTTAATTGCTCTGGCTGAGGGAAGAGCCGACGTTCAACTAATTGATCATTCATTTGAGGACCGTGTTATTCATAGGACCGTGTGTGTTCAGCATGCACAAGTTTTCGGACTTGTTATCACTCAGTCAAGAAGTTTTGTATCGGAGAGCTGGTTATGCTACCATTAATTCATAACTATCCAGAAAAAAACTCCGTTAAAAAGTGCGTGAACATTGGTAATCGAGGAAGTTGGTTGAAATGCATTTTAGCGATTCCTATTCTGCTGTTGTTTGGGTGGTCGGCTTTGTTATGTTTTGATGTCTGCTCATCTGGAATGCACATCGTCAGCGCACTCTGCTGCTGCAGCAGTCTGTTGTGCTCAGTGTGTTGTCTTATCGCAATGAGACCGAGTTGAATTCAGCAAGAGTACATAAGGCAGTTTAGAGGCCACCTCGGTGCTTGAAAGCCTCTTCTGTGTTGTACGCAGGAACGATGGCCATGATGCCGTACACATCCACACTGCAGACCAATTTTTTTGCAGGTGTGGCGGCGGGCAAGCCAATGGAGTGCACTGGCTTGCCGTCGGGCGTGAAGCCGCCAGAGCCTTGTGTGGAGGCCCACTCTCAGGTGAGGGTGGCAAGAAATAGACAACCTTGCTTGTGCAAAGTCCGCCAATGGCACCACGGCTCTCATCGCCTTGCAACAGTGGCTGCACGGCAGTGGGTCGTCATGTACGGCAAATGTCGTCAAATGGGTTGTGTCTCATTTCTTTTTTGTCTAAGTCTTTTTTGTCTTCTCCTTTTTTTCCTCTCATTTCTCTTTTTCTTTTTTCTCACTGTATTTCTTTTCAAAGATTTTTTCCTGTCGTGGATCGCGGGGTTTCTAAGCTGCAGAGCTTGAAGTGCCAGACGGTGCGCAAATGTGTATGTTTGAATATTGGCAATTCGTGTGTTTGAACGAGCCGATGGTGCAACATATGACGTAACGTTGTTCTTCTACGTTTGGAATGCATGGAGTGCCGGTTGAGTTCAGTAATCATCTGGGGTGTCTGTCTTTCTGTAAGGTGGTCCTGTGGTCGACATGGACCAGCTTCTTCACGAACAGCGTGCTGGCAGTGTACCTGAACCCTGCCTTTGGGACCTGGAGCGACCTGCATGGGCGGAAGGGATTCATCGTGCTGGGCATGATGATGGAGTGCCTGCCCTTCATCGCAATACTCTTGTATCTGAAGGACATTCTCCCTCTGTATTGGTAAGAAAACCGTTGCTGATTGCATTGTTCACAGTTGACGAATAGCAGCCCTTTTCTACAGCAACCAAGTGGCATTGTGAGTATTCTGCTGAAAGTTCCAGTCTCATTAGAAGTTATTGCACCCTGAACCCCAAACAGAGTATTATTGAGCTTACAGAGTTAATTTGGAGTGCTTTTTACCAGAACGTGGATAATGGATGTCATGTTAACAGCACACACAGGATTGTTCCTGCAACCATGGCATCTTCAGGCGATGCACACGCACCCCAACTACAAGTCGGATCCACACTATTGTCCATCATGGCCTGCAGGCATACCTTACTGCATGCCCAGGCGTATTTTCTAAGATTGTATCTCTAAAACTGGTGAATTTTGACAATCATTACCAGGCACCCATAGGTCAGGTGGTATAACATGCTTTCTGTCGTATGTGACAAATCTTAACCCAGCGGTCCGTGGAAACCATACGTGCAGATCCACAATGTAACGATCCAAAGAGGTTGTCACTGCGTCCCCAGGTACTATCCAGCTCACATCATTGCTTCAAGTGTGAGCGCCTACACTGTGGCTTTGGGTTACCTGGGCGACGTCATCTCAAGGGAGAACCGAACCGTGGTATTCGGTTTCTGGGCCGGCACTTTCAATGTCAGCTCCATAATCGGCTCGTCCATCAACATTTCCGGGCTGGTCAGGACCCCAGAGGTCGCAGCGGTGGTGGCCCTGGGCACCGTTGTCATCTCCACCGCCCTTGCTGCTGTTTGGCTTCCAGAATCATTGCCCCCTGCTGCGAGGCTGGCAGCTCGGCAGAGGGCCTATGAGGCTGGTGTCTTGGGCGGCAGAGGGCTCATGGCCTGTGTGAAGAAGCCGTTCCTATCAGCATGGACATCCCTGAAGATCTTGGCGAGGAATGAGCTGTTCATGAAGCTGACAGTGACAGTGACGATCTTCTTCATCGTCCTGCAGGAGACCATGGAGTTCATCTTCCAGTATTTGCAGGAAGTGGCGGGCTTTGACACAATGGACCAGTCCATCTTTTTTGCGGTGTTGGGCGTGGGCGGCCTGTTCACCTTGTACGTGGTCCTCTGGTTCCTGTTCACAGTGGTGGGGTTGTCTGAGAAGTCGGTGCTGATCATTGGCATCATCTCCTTTGCCCTGGAGCAGCTCATGTTGTCACTGGTGCATGCAAAATGGCAGGGCTATGCAGCCATCGCTGTGGGTTCACTCGGGGGGCTGGCGTTCCCTGCGATACAGGCCATCAAGTCCAAGTCTGTGGGAGAAGAGGAGCAGGGTGCTGTGCAGGGCGCGCTTGTGGGGGCAAGGTCAGTAGGCCAGGGAATCGGCCCCTTTTTCTTCCTCATCCTGTTCAATGGGTTCAGGAGTCGTGGGCTGTATTTTCCAGCAGCGCCTTTTGTTGCTGCTCTGGTGCTGGAGCTTGGGGCACTCGTGGTGGCCAGCACCATCAGGCTGCCATCCGAGTTTTTGGGCGTACAGAAGCACGCTCGGGAAAAGAAGGCCATGCGTGCGGGTGGATTGCTGGATGAGGACCAGGAGAAGACCCCTCTCCTGCAAGACAACGTATAGCTGCTTATGGCGATGGGCAGGAGGGTCAAGGGCGGTTCAGCAGCGGCCATTGGCTGGACGTCCGTGCAACGTTTACACTGGCAATAACGCGGAAGGGTGGGGGTGCTCATCTTATATTACCCCATTACTTTGTACATTTTTTGGACAGCGGCAAGTGGTTTGCATTTGGATTGTGTAGCATATGAGTGTTGGCTTCAATGTTTGGGGACTTGGGAGCGCGAAGAGCACCTCCAACTGGCTGAATAAGATCTGGGCGTGGTGAAAACCGGCCATCTTGCAACGCATAGCTTGGGGTATAGAATGAAGATGGGCATTTAAACGATTGAGAATTGATACAAGCTGTTCATCACAGAGCAGCGGTGTGCAGATAGCCTTGGTGTAACCAGGTTGTGGCTGTTTTCCAATTGAATGTCTGCAAACTGTATAGCAACGACATGTAACGATATCAGGCCTGCCTGTGTGGCGAAGCGGTAGTGCTGCCTCGCATTCAGAGATGCGAATGGAGTGTGAAGTGACAAGATATGATCAGTCCCGGCGGATTGAATGAGCTGTTGTGTTTGACCCATCGCAAGGGCATCTTTTGTTTTCCTTTGCTGCAGGTGCCTGGGCCAAATTTTGGATCCTTCGTTGGCATCGCGCCTGAAAGATTCCCGATGTACAGCCAAACGAGGAGGGGACCATGGTGCACTGGAATACCCTTCGTGCTCATCCGTGCACCTGAGGCTGACTGTGGTGCACAAATATCACTGGAATGGTCATTGCAAATCATGAAGAATGCCAAGCTGCATCTCTGTGTCCTCGTGCATCGACTGTGATGTGCATTACAGTGACCAGTCGTTTCAGGAGCAGTGTCCGCGGAAACTGACTGTCTTGTGTCCGAATCATCCAGAACAATCTCATGGAACACCCAGAAAGCTCAGCTTCCAGACTCGGTCCATTTCTGCCTTACCGGTCTCCTTCAACCCCGCCCCCTGTTCCCCACATGACAAAACATTACAGTCACAAAGTATTGGTGTCCATCGCCTCACTAATAAAAGACTCGATTGGCGACCCACTTGAAAAGTGCCCTCGCTTCGCAAAGATCTCAATGCCACTCTGATGGTGACCCAACCCTGGGCCAGCTCCCCTTTCTCGTACTCCGTCTCCATCCCACAGCGAACCGAAACTCACTCTATTAAAGTGGGCCGGGTGGGTGCGAAACAAGCTAAGGGGGGCGCCAAGAGTCACGCCCAAAATAGTCGTTCCCGCTTGCCGCCAAACTTCCCGCCAAACCCAAGGGCCAGCTGGACTGGTCCCCTTGTCTACGCCCAAGTCGCAAGGTTCACCCGGTCACCCTTGGATCCGTCGGTCAGAACTGACCCCGCGTACAGGGGTTGACAGAAACCAGCCGTTTGATGGCCCTGAAATGGCCCAGAGAGGCAGACCGGCCCAGACTGGCCGGTGCGCGCCCACCCAACGTCGTCCTTGGCAGAAACTCACTAACAGGATAGTTAATTATATTTACCTAGATTTCTGCAGGTCTCCGACCAGCATTTTGCCCATTAGGACGAGTGCATGATTCAGCAAGAATCGCATTGGTTGTTTCATCTACGGATATGCAGTTCATGTAATCCCTATGCACGTTATGTCAATGCCCTTCTTCCGTTGTTGGCAATGCTCAACGGCAAACTGTGCCAAAATTTCTGACTGGTGTATGAACTGTAGGTGTCGCGTAGCCCAGTCAATCGGCATGTTTCAGACATGTGCCCTACATTGAGTGTAGGGACAACATGGTTAACGGTGAGTCTGGCGACATGTATACGTGATGAGGGCAATTCACACTATGCATGAGTGACGAATAATGTCTCACGAGAACTTCCACGTTGTTTTGGAAAGGATCCTCGACATTTCCATCCTCCCACATCCGTATTTTTCAATCCAGTGTTGAATATGTCCGTTGCAAAGATTGGACACTCCCTCCAGTACCCTTGCACCGCACCAACGGTCCAAAACAAGCCGAACCAGCCGTTTTGTTGCCAACATGTATTTCTTCTATGTGATGTCCTTCCTGATGTGGCCAGGCACCACTCCTGCCTTTCCATAAACTCGCATAAAATTCATAGATCTTGAGAGGTCTGTGGTGCTCTAACTGTCTGTTCATGCGCAAAGAAACGACGCATGGTCCTGCCTTACTTCCAGCTCAATTAGTTAATTGGGACATTATAACGTCCCAAAACTTAAGAAATTGTTCATATTGTCCATCAACTTTCTAGTACTGCATGCACAACGTTTGTAATTATTCTCCAAATTTCTTGACCCATACGGCAGTAAGTCTGCCTTACTGAGATCACCTTGGCTCGTGAACAGCTTTCTTAGAATTTCATAGCCCATGGAGGTCGGGCTATCAAAACTCGTCAACATGAGTGAGTACTCTGCTATCATGCAAATATCCATGTGCTCTTTTGCTTTTGAGCACAGTGCGCAGGGGCCACCCATGTCAAACTTTTCTGACGGATATCAATTGCAGCGTCACCGTGCCAGCCACAATTTGTCTCTCGCGTGCAAGATATTGACTGATTGGACACACTGTTGTGGTAAATCTCACAACCCTTACCACAAACTCCTTAGCTGGATGTTAATCCCACTTGTTGTCACGATCAGGTGCATTCTGATATGCACGGCTCTCACCCTGGCAACCCACCGCCACTCGGTCTCGCCAATGCTGCACACCCCACGGCTGGTCGTCGTCGCCCATGAGACAAATTCCCAGGCCCGAACGCAAAATCGCGGACTGGCTCAGGCGACATGTGTCGCAAGCGTGGGCCGGCAGCAGCGACCGCACATCAGAAAAGTCAGGCGCCACCCATAGTTGTGCATCCACAGGGGTGTAAACTGATGCATTGAACGTCGCTAAAGAAGTTCGTGTACGGGCGCCCAATGCCTGTGGTTCATAGGAATCCTCTGGCGACTTGAGAAGGCGCTTTTCTGCGCCGTATCTCTGCCGACTCGAGTCGCCGGCCTGTTTCGCCAGCGTCATCTGGAACGTTCATGGAAGAGGCTTGCTGTATCGCTGAAGCTGCTTGAACGAACTGAAACGCAGGGTTTTCAACAATTCCGCATCGCACGTACCAATCCGGCAATCATTACACCAGAAAAGAAAAGCGTGAGCGCGAACCAACCACCACCAAGTCCCCCCAAACCCACAGAAGAACCAAAGCCGCCC